TTTTTTTCGTAAAAAAATTAATTTTTTTGAAAATTTTGGCCCGTTTGACCTTGAAATAAAGGTCAAAGGTCAAATCCAAGGGCATATTTGAAATCTACACATATGACTTTTGGAAAGCCGTCTGTAGAAATTTTTCCCATAATTCCATCCGTAGGGTAGATAATTAGCATTTAATTTTGCCATTTTTAGACAAGGGTGCATTGCAATGAGTGCCACACCTAGACCCTAATACCGACAAAGCCCAAATTTTACGTGGAACGAGTTGAGATTATAGGTGACCTAAATCCAAGAGATGGGTACGGGGGCCCTTACCGTCTAGGAGGAGAAGCGGTAACGGTAGCCGTCCGGCGGAGCCGCAGGAGCCGGCGGAGCCGGCGGAACGATCCGGACGGGACTAAAACCATGTGTACCGCCAGCGCTAATGCTGGTGGTACAATTAATTCACCAGAAGGTAAGGTGCAAAGATGATCATTGTCCTACGGTAAACATGAAATGGTTACGTAATATTCTCTAATGTCTAAAGGTACATTGTGTTTTTCTTTCCTTTCAGAATACAGCGAGCAGTACATACATAATATAACTGACCAGGATGAATACATACAAGCAAAGTTTTTTCGCGACAAAAACAAAAGCAACCTTCATAACAAAACCGAAAGCGATAAACAAAGTGAGCATGGGAGTGATTTCTTGAGTCAAAAGCAAATTGGAACATGTTTGAAAAGTAAGGAATATGGATCAGATTCAAGAAACAAAAACCAAGGACGTCGGTTGCAAATTGTTGGGTATAACTATACTCATGTGAAAGACTGCTTAGCTCGAGGATGTGAACTAAATGACAAGAGGTCTCCTGTCATGATTCTATCGTGTGATACTGCAGCGGACAAAAGAGTGGCTGAAAAGGTGACGGTAGTTGTGAAAACAATCCAGAGGTTAACAAGTGTTATGCGGCTTATAGAATCATTACACAGTTTTTACCCAGGGGTGAAAGTCATTGTTGTTGACGACCACTTTAACATCACTCTTCCTTCTCCTGAACAAGTAAAAAGCATGCACCGACTTTGGCGGGTATTTATGAACAAGTCTCATGGTTTAGTGAAGTATATCAAACTACCTGGAAATGCTGGCCTTGCCAAAGGAAGAAACACAGGCCTTAAAGAGGTTACATCTGAATACTTTCTTCTTCTTGATGATGATTTCGTGGTAACTAGCCAAACAAACATCTCGAAGATGGTAGATATTTTGGATAGAACTGATCTGACACTCGTAGCAGGTACTTTGGCATATAATCCGCCTTTTGTTTGTGTTTTAAGAATACATCCGGGGAGTAACGCATCGATTTTACAACCGTGCGAGTATATGAATATGGCATATGAAGAAATTCCTTCCTTCCCATATTGTTTTGCAGTAGACTATGTTTTAAACCTTTTCCTTGCCAGGACTGAAGCCATTCGTAGTATTGGAGGTTGGGATGAAGACTTGCTGGTTGCAGAACACAGGGATTTCATGTTTCGTCTGAGAAAAGCTGGTTATAAACTTGCAGTTTGTACGGATATATATTTAGAACATAAGCCTATTTCCACACCGGGTTACCCCACATATAGATATACACAGGGTGAAAAATTCAAGGCACTCTTTCAAATGAAATGGAATATCAGTGAGGGCATCGCCCTTTATGAACCAATGTTTTACTTTAATCATACCTGTAGTGCTTTAACTGTAGTTTAAATCATAAAAGTATATTTCAATGATAATCAATTTTTTTCTATAGCTTCTTAAGAAGGATATTTGACGATTTCATTAGATTGTGTAATTTTACTTCTAAGCTTTTTATGGCTTACAGTATATATCAAATTTATAATCTATATCAAATTTATAATCGTGATTTTTAAACCACTGAAAAATCTATAATGTAAATGTAGAATTTGTTATAATTGCAATTTGAGTAAAGCTTGGCCCATCCTTTGTAATGTTTAAAACATCAAATTTAAAAGGCAAAATTTCAAGTGTATCATTCCAATCTTGTACAAAAAAAAAAAACTTGAAATCAGTAATTTACTGGTATGTTTTTGCATTATTCGGACTTATTAGGGATAACAGAAACTAATTGCCACTAGACCTGTCACCATAATTCACATAAAAATACTAAAATGCATCCGGAAGACAATGGATTCAGTAATTGCTCGTTGCAATCAATAAAAAAGTAGAATATTCAAAATGCAAGGAAAACTTATATCGTTTATTTAATCAGTTATAATAAAAATAAAAATAATAAAAATAAAGCATGGCTTCACAAGTTTAATGCAAAGACGATCATTTGGTACACCTATACAGTGCACGGGGTTACAGAGTAATCGGTATATAGAATAGGGGTTTTCTAATTCATAATTTTCATTTTAAACGTTATGTTACCCGGTGATGTGTGCTCTAATACAGGGTCACCCAAAAAATCGAAACCCATAATTTTTTATGAAATCCTACAAAGGTCCATCGAATTTCAACAAATTAGCTGGACATAAACTTCAGCATGTGCTGTTGATAAGAAAAAAGAAGTGGTTAACTTAATCTACTCGGAGATCCTCGCATCATTGAAGTCCCATTTTAATTTAAATGTGTTTGCGGTGTACCTTACTATATGCAGTATAAACTTGGGAAATGTTCATGCACATGAAGTTGAAGTCCTGCAAGTTTATTGAAATTTGATGGACATAATAGGATTTAATAAAAATTTGATGGGTTCTGTTTTTTTCCGTACATATTTGGTCATGATGTGTGAACTTTCCCCAAATTAAAGAAGCGCATTTACACCACCCTCTTTTTATCCATAATGCCAACAAAGAGCGCAATAAGCACAATTTACTATGTCTCACCAAGGATCACCAAGGAGAAAATTATTCTTTTCCCATTTGCTCTGAACAAACTTGGGACAAAGAAAAGGAAAGAACTGGAATCATCTTTTTAAGACAACAGTGTTTGGGTAAACCATCTCCCATTGTCTCAGATTAGCTGTTTGGATTGTTTCCGGGAGCCCGAACTGATTGTTATCTAGGGGACCATTCCCACAGATATATGGATCGATCTATTGCCTGGGGAGTCTCACTAAATTGCTGTCAGACTGACCGGCTTAAACATCTGTCACGCCTAATAAAACTGATAGGGGGTAATTATCTTTACCCCTAGCTGATTCGGTAGGCGTGACAGACATTTAAGCCTCTTGAGCTGATAGCAATTTAGCATGAACCCCCAGGGAGTTAGGTCGATCCAGATTGATCGATCTAACACCCCATTTCCATAGATTAGATCGACCTACTTTGGATCGACCTAACTCCCTGGGGGTTCGCGCTGAATAGCTGTCAGCCGGGCGGACACGAAAGTTAATTGCTCCTTACGGCTTGTAGTGGGCGGGGACGGACACTTAAGGGGGATTATCTGACGGTAGTCTGGTGAGACTCCCCGCGGTGATAGATCGATCTAAAGTTGTGGGAATAGACCCTAAGTATGGGAACCCTGTCTAGGTCTCGCCCGCTGTGCCACAGAAACTTATTATTGTTTTACTCGTGGTCGCCATCGTGCAGTTGCTTTAGCTTGAGTCAGCACGTGGAATTTTTACTTTTCAATATCTTTTTTTTGTTATCTCTTAAAAAAAGGGTCCTCACTTTTGTCTGTTACCTTTTTTTCTGTTGATAGAGTAGTCAGTGACGGGACAAGTATAAGCACCTTAAATTGGATTTTTTTACCTAGCTGAGGTTAGAGGACCGGTGTAACGAAACTGAGGGTCCGTGTTACAAGAAAGTCTGCCCTCCATTTAATTGCAATGGTTACTTTAGTGGATCAAAATATAGGGCGTGGCTTACCAATTTTTTTAACAATGTTTATTCTTCGAAAGAAATGGAGGCAAAGCGCTAAAAGCATTAGATACTCTCCACAAAATTAAATAAGATAAAACAAATGAATACGTTTATGTAATATATATATATATATATATATATATATATATATATATATATATATGCTTACCAATGAATGGGAAGCGGACTCATGGGGGACTCTTTATCACGTTACACCGGGAGTAGTTGGCTCAGTACGACATTTTTGGCCTCGTGGAACCAAATCAGAATATAAGCTAGAGCACCCAAACCGGTTTTAGAACGAGCGGCGAGGACTTGGCTACGGATGCAATGTCACTGTTTTGCAAATATCATGCCACATGACGCGTTTTATTCGCCCAATCTAGGATACGAGACATCTTGGATCCTAGGCCCAAACGAATAAAATGTGTTAAATAGTTCTATTAATGAAAATCAGTCATCATTATTTCAACATATTGTCGAGTGTAAAATTGTCCAATTCGAGGTCCGGTGGTGTAATGTATCTTCAACGTGTCCTTAAGCTATATAGCCCAGTCTCGTCTCCGCATGAAACCTATAAGGGAAAACTAGAAAAATGTTGAGAAAATTTAAAAACTGCCACCTTCGCTTAGTTGGCTTTTTCTTCGCTTTGATAGTATGCCTTTTAGTGATAACAAACATGGGTGATTCGTATAAACAATTTAACAGCTGGCAAAGGACAGTGTCAGGTAAGTCCATCTTTGATAAGAAAAAAGCAGCGGTTTATCTACTCGGAGATCCTCGCATCATTGAAGTTTGCGTGAATGTTTGCGGTGTACCTTACTTTATGTTACCTTAAAAAACTAGTGCCAAATAATAAGAAATACAGCATACCATTAGCTCGTAGCCTACATAATGTGTTGTTGTTAATGTCGACGTAATTTGAAAAGGGGACAAAGGAATGAAAATTAGATGAAAGAATCTATTTAAAACAGACACAGAGCAAACAATAACATTGCATGTATATTACTGGCCATGTCCACAAAATCTGAATATACAACAGAAATGGTTTATGAGAAATGCATTGTTTCTGTTTTTATCATATATGCATTAAAAGAATAACAAAAAAAGTATGTTAATATTGTAGCTTTGTTTCAGGTCTGAAAACCATTGGTAGAAAGAGCACTGCGTTGCTATCTTATGACTACAACAAGCAGACACCTTATAAAGCCGAAAACAAAGAGAGAGGAGAGACTTCGTTTACTTACAACTCAAACGAAAGCAATTATCAAAACGACAGCAAAGCCAACCGAGTAGATGCGGAGATCAAAAATAAAGACCTGAATTTAGAATTATGCACGGCAGCCTACCGATACACTCCACCGGGAAGGCGATTTCAGATTGCTGGATATAACCACACTCAAGTAGATAATTGTATTGCGCCCGTTTGTGAACTTAACAACAAACGATCTCCTGTAAATATCATTGGATGTAAAGCAACATCTGACAAAAAAGTCACTGAAAAAGTGACAGTCGTCGTGAAAACGATAAGGAGGTTAACCCTGGTAAAACGACTTATAGAATCCCTACATTATTTTTTCCCTGGAGTTAAAGTAATTGTAATAGATGATCATTTTATGAATAATACCACTGAAAACACGGAAGAACTTTGGAATAGGTTTTTGAAGAAATGCAATGGCTTGGTCACTTATATGACTCTGAATGGAAATGCAGGGATATCCAAAGGTAGAAACACAGGTCTTAAAGAGGTGAAATCTGAATATTTTCTTCTTCTTGATGACGATTTTATCATAACCAATCAAACAACAATTTCAAAGATGGTGGGCATCTTAGATAGCACTGATCTGACACTTGTAGCAGGTACTCTAAAAAACCACCCGCCTTTCGTTTCTGTATTAAGAATACATCCAGGAAACTTAACATCACATTTACAGCCATGCGAATATCTGAACATGGCGTACGAAGAAATTCCTTCCTTCCCATATTGTTATGCAGTAGACTATGTTTTAAACCTTTTCCTAGCTAGGACTGAAGCCATTCGTAGTATTGGAGGTTGGGATGAAGACTTGCTGGTTGCAGAACACAGGGATTTCATGTTTCGTCTGAGAAAAGCTGGTTATAAACTTGCAGTTTGTACAGATATATATTTTAAACATAAGCCATTTTCTACACCAGATTACCACGCATATAGACAAATACAGGGTGAAAAATTCAAGGCACTCTTTCAAATGAAATGGAACATCAGTGAACCTATCCGCATATATGAACCCAAATTTTATTTCAATCATACATGCATTGATAACTCAGTAGATTCAAGCAAGGCTACATGACATGACAACGTTGTACTTTTAGATTTCAGTTAAAGGTGAATTAAGGTAAATTGCTCACAGCTCGGTGATTTTGCACTCGTGAGAAATGTCACCTACCACGGTAAAGGAAAATAATCAGTGGAGTCATGGCGTTTTACTTTTTTTTCACAATTTTTATATATTGTTTATTAATCTAATCAAAATATCCCATACTCTAATTTCATCTGGTTTGTTTCGAGATAACATTTTACAGGCGCTATCACAATATAGCTTTACGCAGAAAAAGGATATGGTATTGTGAAGAAAGACATCTGCTGGTCGAGGTGATAAGTTGGGATCTAAATACCTTGTGTTTGTGTGCAATACAAGATACACCTACATGTATGTTATACATTTTATCTGTAAAGTTCGTTCAGGCGACGAAATAACGATCTATGAACTCATTTT